TGTTTAATTTAGATGCACACACACACACACACACACACACACACACACACACACACACACACACACACACACACACACACACACACACACACACACACACACACACACACACACACACACACACATGTTTATGTTTATTCATTTAGCAGACGCTTTTATCCAAAGCGACTTACAATTCATAACCTATAGGGCATGTACAGTACAGGCCATACGTTTGGACTGGACACACCTTCTCATTCAATGTGTTTTCCTTATTTTCATGACCATTTACATTGGGGGATTCCTCACTGAAGGCATCAGAACTGTAAAAGAACACATGTGGAGTTATGCACTTAACCAGAGCAAGTGAAATAACTGAAAACATGTTTTATATTCTATTTTATTCAAAATAGCCACCATTTACTCTGATTACTGCTTTGTTCACCCTTGGCATTTTCTTGATGAGCTTCAAGAGGTAGTCACCTGAAATGGTTTTCCAACAGTCTTGAATGAGTTCCCAGTGTTGGCCCCTTTGTAAATGGTCATGAAATTACAGTTTTTCTCAGTTGCTTTGGTGCATTTCTCACAACAGAATTAAACTTTGCACAACAGTTAGTTCAACCTCCACAACATGTAGTCGTTTTGGCACAACCTAGTGGCGGTTTCATGTTCATTTCGTCCAAAGGCAAGTGAAGCAGTTAAGTACAAGTGTCTAAAGAATGGTCACTTTTGACTGGCTACTCATCACTATCTCCTTGCTTTTATCATGAATGTCACAATTATTGATACTTGTACCGGCTGAATAGTCATTGTCCTTACAACTAATAGTCTTCATTTCATTGCTTGTGTCATTGCACTCAAAATTGTTGAACATCTTGTCAAACAATTTGTACACCCATTTTGAAAACCCTATTTTTAAGGAGTTTCCATGGAAATCTCCATAAATTACTTTTCTCAGGTGAACCTTATCTCACACTAATGAAAATTGGTGTGTGTCCTGGTGACAATCGGACAATGTATGTAGTGGTTTGGGACAATGTTAGCTTCCATCACTCTGCTGTAGTCAGGCAGTGGTTTGCAGCACACGCCAGGATGCTTATGGAGTTTCTTCCTCCTTATGCTCAACTCCAAAATCCAATTGAAGAGTTTTTCTCTTCATGGAGTTGGAAGGTATATGACAGGCATCCACATACCCAAATGCCCCTGCTAGCAGCTATGGATGCAGCTTGTGATGACATCACAGCAGAGTCCTGCAGAGGATGGATTCGACACTCCAGAAGATACTTTCCCCGATGCATCGATAGAGCTGTCATTCCCTGTGATCTTGATGAAAATATGTGGGCAGACAGATGGGAGCGTCTAGATATCAATGATTGATATGCAGCAGTGTCTGTTCAGTTTTTTTTTTTGTTTCATAACTACTGCAGTAAGGTTTACTGTCTGTGAGTTTAAGTTTGCTGTAAAATGTTTGTTTTACTGTATTTCCCCAGTTGCACAACGCTGTGAACAGTTTGTGAGAAATGCACCAAAGCAACTGAGAAAAACTGTAAATATTATTAAGAGTGCATATGAAGTGTCTTGATTTTCCTTTACAATTTATGGTTTTCAACAGACTTGACATGTCATTGGGAAGCACCTACAAAGAAATCCGTCACATTGAGAAAATGTTTAAACCATTTGATTTTGTGACCAAAGGTGCTGGTGTAATGACTTGTAATTGTGACAGCCCTGACACTTTGATTGATATAAGTACTTGCTTTTGATGAATACATTATCTGTTTTGATTAAGGGACTTGCTTTTGAAGCATTGACTACTTATTTTGAGCAACTGACTTGCTTTTGAACTACTGACTTTTCGTTTTGATGAAGACGTGACTCACTTATGCAAGTTATCCACCATGTTTTGCAGTAATTGTTTTGAGAAGAGCCTTAGTACTGGTGCAGAGATCAATTCTGTTGTGATAAATGCACCAAAGCAACTGAGAAAAACTGTAAAGAAAACACACTGAATGAGAGGGTGCGTCCAAACTTTTGGCCTGCACTGTATATATATTTATATATGTGTGTGTGTGTGTGTGTGTGTGTGTGTGTGTGTGTGTGTGTGTGTGTGTGTGTGTGTGTGTGTGTGTGTGTGTGTGTGTAACAGTAACAACTGTCTGGCTGATATAAAAAAAGTGAAAATATGTTGGTTAGAGCACTTTCACACTTCAGCCACTAGGAGGCAGACTCATTCTGTGTGACTCATTGACTTGATGGTGTGTCCCATTGATGATGATGATGATGATGATGATGATGATAGATAGATAGATAGATAGATAGATAGATAGATAGATAGATAGATAGATAGATAGATAGAACCCTAAATGTGTAATAATTAAATATCAAAACTCACCATGAATAAAATGTGTGTTTTGGTCTCCCAATAAACAAAACAAAGTTTCCCCGTGTCCTGTCCGGCTGTGAAGCAAACAGAATTGATGTCTGCCTTACAGATTTACTCTCAGGTGGAGCATCAAAGCTGCTTTAATGTCACACGTGATACTTAAAACTTTATTGTTACTGTTTTTTGGATGCTTTTTAAATCTGACCAGACACGGAGACAGAGGTGAAAGAGAAAGGAAGAGACAAAAGGAAGACTCTGCTGCTATCATCCCAGACTACTGAGAGATTCATGGATCCCAGAGAATTTCTTACAAACTGTTCAGTGCCTCTCTTTCTGCAGATTGTATAAATAAAGTATCGGTAAATATTGACAAAGAAACAGTTTGAGTCTCCTACTGCACTCGACTCCAGAGGCTACATCACACAGCTGGACTGAAACATTTTGCTGATGTTGCATCATCGTCTCTCTTGCAGCTGTGCTCATCTTCCTTCACACATCTAGCATTTTTAATGTAAAATCTTTAGCTGATGGTAAAAAAAGTCATTTCAATTGAGAAGAATCTTTAAATCAAAATTAAATTAGACTTTTAATTACTTTAAATATTGTCTTTGAGCCAACTCTGAGGAATGTGTTAATTGTTCACGAGGAGGAAACCAGCCACATCTGGAGGAGATGAGCAGGAAGGATGGTGTTCAGTAGCGCCAGTTTGCTTTGGCAGGATGATGATGTAATCTTGATTGTTCACCAGAAATTCCCAAACATGCTTCTGTTCCCTGCAGGAACTTTACACACAAAGCAGCGTTTAAGCTTCCACTTCCACTCCCACTTCTTACCTGCCAAAGGTGTTTCTAAATTTAAAGAAATCTTTTTAAACAATATACTTCTGCACTATTTTAGAGTTGGAATAAGTGTACTTGGGCTGAAAAAGGAAAAACAGCTGCCCACACTTCCGCTGACGTTGGAGTGATGACGTCCAGATGTTGCATTCTCAAACAGCGTTTCTCACCAGGAGTTATGTAAGAAGTTGCTCCTCCCTGTCGAGAAAACGTGCTCGACACGTGCCTGACCCCTCTCGCTGGCCTTTCAGGGTTCAGCTGGAGAAATGTTTCATCATTTAATGTAGTTCTGTAAATCAGACGTAAAACCATGAAACACGTTTCTGCTGCGTAAGCTTAATGATGGATCAGAGAAGATCTGGAAGTTTCTTCATGTTTGCATGGTGACGTACACGAGGCAAATATTCAGAAGCCACAAAGGAGGTCCTGTGTGTGTGTGACCCTGGGGAACGACCCGCATCCATCCATTGCTTTCACCATTTTAGGCTTTCCTTTAATGCCTCATTCATCTGATAAAATACAAACTTCTGAATGTTCTTTTCTCACAAATCAAGGGTCTTTATTTCACTAGAGAGTCAATAGCATGTCTGTTTCTCTAACGGGACCATCCGACCCAGGTGTTGCCCTCACTCGGCACAAGCTGAAGAATGTCAGGGTGAACTGTGACCTTTAACAGAACCCCCCCCCCCCCCCCCCCCCCCCCCCCCCCCGCTACGGAGGGAGGGGTGCTAATGAGGTGTGTGTAAGGAGTAAGGCATTTGTTTGATGCCACAGTTTCTTCGTGCACTTTGTGACTTTGCAGCTTGGTGAGACTGAAACGCAGAGTCAGCCTGGGAACTTTTCCTCTTAACGTTTGGGGAATGTTCTGGAATCCTCCTCCAACACCACGTCACCACAGAAAAGGCAAGCCACTCTTCAGCTGGCATGTCAGGACCGTTTGTAGAGAGCTGTAAAAGATGAAGCATCAGGAGGCTGCAGGATAACGCTGATTAGAAAACAGTCGATCAGAAGCTGAGTCAAAACAAAATTGTGTTTATTCCATTATGTTGCACGTAATCGTTACTTTACCTGCATGTCTGGTTACTTAAAACAGGTCAAACAGATGAAAAAAATACATAACGGCCAGGAATTTGATGGTGCACCCTGAAAAAAGGCTTAACTTTAAATCAATTATTTAGAAACATAATTTAAATCAAAATGTTCTTGCAAAGGTTAAAAAAAGAGGTTGCGGAGGCGTGTTCGTCAGTAATGATGGCCTCCACTGCACCCCCATCCTGGAGAGACGTGGCACTGTGGGGGTGGGGGCAGACTGAGAGCTCACTGCTTCAGTCAGGAATGAACCCAGCCGCATGCATCTTATAAAATCTTCCCTCTTTCGTTTGAAATTCATCGTTAGTAATAAAGAAAACTGCAGCTAAAAACAGGTTTCTGTTGCTGAATCAAAGAACCGTTTCAGATTCAATCTGTGTGTTGCTAAAACAACAGAGTTGCACTGAAGACCGACTCAAATGAAACAACACAAATCCCACACATAAAGGAATATAAAAGTCTTTTGTCTTTTACAGCTGATGAAACCACAGCTGAAGATTGAGTCAGCACACGGCGATACAGCCGAGCCCAAAACTGACCAAGAGTCAGATTTCCTTTTATTTCAACCTCTAGTTATTTGTGGAAAAGTTATGAAACGCATCCCAAAGGAGTTCACTTCTGCTCTTCCCATCTCATAGCTCAACCCTGTGATTTCAAGAGGGGGAGGTCCCAGCTCCCAACCTCCTGAGCAAACACAGTCCTTATTTGAATATCCCATTCCCATCTTCCAGAAAATTCTCTTCATGGATATATAGAGCTGCCGAGCCGTGTCAGGGATAAGCCACCCGCCACATACATCTGAGAGGACAAACCCTGCGAATCGGTGCCAGGTGAGAATCAGGGAATAACAGAGTTCTTGTTTTCAGGAGGGAATGCTGACGGTGAATGGACGGCTTTGTCTCCAGGGCTGAACTTTACAGTTCAGCGTTTTTTCCTTTTAACCAGTTTTCAATCTGTTGCTGCACGTTTGCAGGGAGAAAACTTGAAACTAGAAGGCAAAAGTTAAAGATTTCTGTCAAATTAATCCAGAATGAGAACAGAAAGAAACTCTTTTGTGTCTCTTATAGAAAATCAGAAGAGAACTTGAAACTTCTTGTATAACATTTTGTTTTTAAGAGCATCAAATCAGAACTCTAAAAAGTGTGATTTGATTTATTGTGACACACAAAAAGGGGGAAGCCTGCATGTCGAGTCAGAGCCTTAACATGTTCTCACCACTTGCTCTGTGGCGATTACTTCAATCACCTTTTGTCTTTCAGAATGAAAATCGCAGACATGAAAACATCTCCAGGTATCCAAAAGTAAAACCAATGTTTTCTGTGTCATAAATGTTCAAACAGAAAGATGCAGGCGACGTCTCTGCACAGGAAACAGGATGTTGCTGCAGCTGGTTATTTCCAGCCTGAGGATATGGGTTTGACTCTTTGTTCAAACTCTTTGTGATGAAATGAGTTAGTTGCAGCCTGCAGACTTATGTGGCAAAGTGTGCAAAAGAAACCCAAGTCGCCCTGCAGGTCTTTTTCATCCAAAGAAGTGAGAAGTATCCTATTTCAGCTCTCAGCTGTACCTCGACTGTGTGCCGACGTGGCACTAATCATGTCTGCCTAGACTGGAGCCTTTCCAGAGTTTCTCTGTGGGCGGAGCTTGCCCTGTCCTACCCTGTCTCCACAGCTTCATAATCAGTCTTTTGCCTACTTAAAATTCTTCAGTAGATGTGCATTTGCTCCATTCATTCAGTGACTTTTGTGGCCTTAACCGTGTCTTCTTTTTTGTTTCTTTGCTTGCAGGCTGCTGTAGCTGCGATCAGATACTGACAGGATGTGGATGACAAACATTGTCGCTCTTTGTCTGCTGGCCATTGTGGCCTCTGCAGAAGACAAGAAACTGAGCAGCCATGCCGCCACGCTGGCTGACACAAGTGCAGACTTGGCCTTCAGGTCTGTTTCCTTGTGACACTTGAAACATAAATTTGCAAGCCTGTGGCTTGAGCGTCTAGATGTATTTGTTGGAAAACTTGAGTTAATTTGTTTTCCTGTGATTTCCGTGCAGCCTCTACCACTCTATGGCTAAGGATAAAGACACGGACAACATTGTCGTCTCTCCCCTCATCGTGGCTTCCTCACTGGGGCTGGTAGCTCTTGGTGGGAAAGCCTCCACCGCCTCCCAGGTGAAAACTGTCCTTAGTGCTGCCAAACTCAAGGATGAGCAACTCCACACTGGTCTGTCAGAGCTCCTCTCTGAGGTAAGCAAGGCATAAATCTGAACCTTTCCCCTAGAGATTTAAATCTGAAATATGCTTCTATTTATTCATCATGAGTCATTCTTTCTCAGGTGAGTGATGCCAAGACCCGCAACTCCACCTGGAAGATCAACAACCGCCTCTACGGCCCCAGCTCCATCTCCTTCGCCGATGACTTTGTGAAGAACAGCAAGAAGCACTATAAATACGAGCACTCCAAGATAAACCTCAGGGACAAGAGGAGCGCCGTGAACTCCATCAACGAGTGGGCGGCCAAGTCCACAGACGGCAAGCTGCCCCAGATCACCAGTGATGTGCAAAACGCAGATGGAGCCATGATTGTCAACGCCATGTTCTTCAAACGTGAGTACAGACGAGAGTCTGAGCCCCACTTCTGAGCTGAACTGTGCAGAAAAGTGACCGAATGCTGTTTTTCGACTCCACAGCTCACTGGGATGAGAGATTCCACGATAAAATGGTTGATACCCGCGGTTTCCTGGTGACCCGCTCCTTTACTGTTGGAATTCCCATGATGCACCGCACCGGTGAGTTTCTCTACAATCTCAGCTTCTGATCTTGTTATGTCTTCCCGACTGAACGCTGATGAGATGTCTCGGCTTCCTGCAGGTCTTTATGACTTCTATGAGGACACAGAGAACCAAATCTATGTGCTGAACATGCCTCTGGGCCAGAAGCAGGCGTCCATGATCTTCATCATGCCATATCACCTGGAGCCTCTGGGCCGTGTGGAGAAGCTGCTGACACGGAAGCAGGTTGACACGTGGATCAGCAAAATGGAGAACAGAGCTGTTGCTATCTCCCTCCCCAAAATCTCTTTGGAAGTCAGCCACAACCTCCAGGTAAAGGCTTCAATCAAAGCACAGATATAAACAAATCAGTGATCAACCTTTAGTTTTGAACATTCTTTACTTGATTTTTTTTTTTTTTTTTGTAGAAATATCTAGCTGAACTTGGCCTGACTGAAGCTGTGGACAAATCCAAAGCTGACCTCTCCAACATCTCTGGAAAGAAGGACCTCTATCTGTCCAATGTGTTCCACGCCTCCGCCCTGGAACTGGGCCCTGAAGGAAACCCGTTTGACTCGAGCATCTTTGGCACCGATAAGCTGAGGAACCCTAAACTTTTCTACGTAGATCATCCTTTCCTTTTCCTGGTGAAAGACAACAAAACCAACTCCATCCTCTACATCGGCAGAGTCGTTAGACCCAAAGGAGATAAGATGCGTGACGAGCTTTAATGTTAATGTTCTCAGTCATGTTAGGTAGCTTTAATATTTGTGAAATCGGGACAGGAAATGATGTGTGTGAGTGTGTTTGTGGATTTCATTGGTGTGACTGTTACCTCACATTCCAGTAGGCAATCTGGTCTGGACATCTGAGCATATACAAACTCTTCACTCCAAAACAACCACTCTCATTAGGACGAACCTAAACCAGCTTCAGATTCAGTCTGGATACTTATATTAAGTATGGTGCATATTTTAAATGTAATGTCCTGCTTTGCCACTGTTGGCCGAAACACACCCCAAGTGCGTTTTCTTGCATTATCTTTAATGTTTAAAGAAAAAAAAGATCTTTGCACGCACTCTCTCTTCTGTATATTTGCCTCCGTGTTGTGCTGAACTGTTCCTCAGCTCTGAGCTGAGTTTGTGGCAAATGTCTGGGTCTTAACTCATGCTCAATCTCCAGCCATGGCTTGTCATTGTGTCACTGTGGGTGTTTTTTTGTTCTCTCTCTTTTTTTTTTTACAAAGAAGCTGTTGAAATTTTGTAATTATGAAACAATGTGTGAATTTTTATTAATAAAAGAGAACGAAGAAACCCTTGGTGTTTTATTTTGATGAATGAAACCTGAATTCCTACGCAGTTGATACAGACCTAGTCAGAGTGGAATGCATATGTGAGCACACTAGTGTGTGCATGTGTCAACAATTAAAAGATAACAATCTTTCCAGCTGACTGGATGTCAGAAATTCCATGCAAGTCTGGAATGCTGGGATTTAAAGGTGAAGCGCCCCTCTTTGAACTGGAGGCAAACCATTTTCCGACCGCACTTGAAATAATGTAGACATCAGGATAATAGTTTGGAAGAGATCAACCCCCCACCCCCACCCCCCCGCACACACTCACACACACACACACACATGCACAATGTAGCAAAAATAAGTCAACAAAAGCTGGAGTGCAGGGTTCACATGGTGATTGGGTATAGTCATCAAATATATTCCAAACGGGTTTTCTTCAATTTGTCCTGAATTCATCACTCACACGCACACACACGCACACACACGCAAACACACGCACACGCACACACACGCACACACACACACACACACACACACACACACACACACACACACACACACACACACACACACACACACATGCACACACACTGACTGATAACTGGGTCAAACTGTAACAAAGAACGGCGGAAATGAAGCCCTCAGCATTTTCATACACACAACAACAGCACTCTCTAGTGGTTATAGTGACACAAATAAATGCTTCGTTTATATGGCAGTACATACATAAACATAAAACATATTTGCATGGCGTTAATAACAGAGGAGACATAAAACATAAAAATAAAGCCACATTTCATGTTTCTCATAGCTTTTTCTGATTCTGTTAATTTATTTATACTAAACACAAAAGTAGCTGGACCTACAGTTATCCTCAAGCTTGGATTTAATCTTCCTTTTTATTCAAAGTGGAATAAAGTCTGACTCATTCTTAAGCATTCAATTTTGAACGTTTTAAGGACAAAAATATGTTAACAATGCATACAGAAGCGATCTGCTGTGATTCATTGTAAAACATATAACCTTGTGTAAAGAAACATCACATCTGTCTGTAGTTTTATGATGGTTTATGATCATTTTGCATCCAAAGTGAATCCTTATTTTTTAAACCATTTTAAAATGAAGTTATGATTAATATGTGAGAATTGTGATTAATAAAGCAAATGTGTAATTTAACACAGTTTCTTATTAGTTGTAATAAAGTAATATTAATCACATAATAGTGTGGCCAGAATAAACGCAACCTACCGTTCTGAATAAAGCTTTTCTTTTAAAAAAGCATCTTATTACACATTTTTCATGCTTTCCGAGGAGTCGTCAGTGTTTTACGTAATTTCAATGGAATTGACTAACAGAATTGTTAAGAGTAAAGATGGCGACTGTGTCAGACACAAATGTGACATAAAGCCAAAGACTCTATCTAAACACTAACTTTATTTTACTATAATCTTAAAGTGCTGACATCCAGGCTCACAAAAAGATGTGAAAAACAGAAAAAACATTGAAATGTTTCAGTGTGAAACTAACTTCTGTTAACAGACTGAGCGTGTGTGTGCTTCCTTAGACAGCCACCCTTTTAGAGTGGGCCCACATATGAAACGTTTACTCTAAAATAAAATTCTGAGCTTTTTCCCCGTCAGATGTCTAATTAAAAGCTACACCCCAGCTCTAACAGGAGTGAACTAAACAGACCTGAAGAATGACATCTCACTATGGAACAGACGTTAGGGACATTCAGGCATATGGACGGGGAAACCTCTGGTCGTCCTGAAGTATTTGACCACGCAGTGGCCGGTGCGTTTAGAGAGGACTGAACGAGTCCATCCTTCACTGAGGAGCGGGTTTGTCTTCCCTGCGACTCTGGCAGCAGGCAGGCAGGCAGGTCATGTGACCACTCTCATTACATTAGCACCATGTTGTTCTGCTGTGCTGGTAGCAGGAAGATTAACCGGTCCATGAACAATCCTCTTAAATAAGTCTTCATTAAGCTACACTGAGAGGCTGGGTGGTGCTCTCAGAACTCTCAGTGTTTTCCTCCTTCTGATGCTTCTCTGTACTTTGTGCTTTCATAGATTTTCTCCTTCTTCCATTCAGACCTTCTTGTCCACCTGCCTGTTGGCCTTGCGGAAGAGAGTCTTGATCTCCTCTGTCATCATCTCCTGCCAGTTGTCCCTAGTTCACAGGAAGTATTCAGTCAAAGATCCAGAATAGATGATATAAAACAGACACCACGAATGAAGACATTTTAAAGGGGAAAATCTACCAATACCTCACAGTAACAACGGGAAACAACAAAGAATTACAATCCGCTTAAGAAGAAGAGGACAAGATCAAAAGATTAATGGGGCGGTTGATTAGGAAGAGTCAGGAATCGATGAGAGAAAACTCTGGGTGTAGAGATGCATTTCGGTCAACTGATAGCCACTACACTCCACAACACAGACACCGGCCGGCGTTCGGCTCCTATACCTCCTGAGTCTGAACTGAGAAGGTCAAGCCTTCTTCTCGGCTTTCTTTCTCCTGTAGGCGGCTACATCCTCAGGCCGGAGCCCATGACTGTCTTCTCTGAAGTTACAGTTTGCATAAGTTTACAGCAGACATAAAAACACAAACATCATCAAAAAAGTAAGGAGTAGAAGATCTGAACTCTTACCCTGCTCTTATTTCTGGTGGTTTCGGCAAAGGTTTGGTGAAGTCGGTTTTGCCCACAAGCCAATATGTTTCTTCAATACCTTTACCCTGCCAAAAATGACCAAACAGATATTATATTCCAGATTTGAAACAATAAATGACACTAATCTTCAATAAAAATCCATCCCGGTTTGTTACCTTCAACTCTGTCTTTCCTCTGATGTCTATTTTATAACCTTCATTAAGAGAACGGAGGATCTTCACAGTGCTACAGTTCACGTGAATTCTATAAGCTGGGATGAGAAGAGTACTTTTACCAGCTGGAATGGAGGGAAACACCAAGAGGATTAAAGTATTGAGTAAAATAAACTCACGCAGTCCAGTGGATTCCATGCGAGAGGCAGTGTTAACGGTGTCTCCAAAAAGGCAATACCGTGGCATGGTGAGACCCACAACCCCGGCAACACATGGCCCTGCACACACACACACACACACACACACACACACACACACACACACACACACACACACACACACACACACACACACACACACACACACACACACATGCGGGAGTACACAAGGTTGAGCTGAGAGCAGGGCTGCGAGGATGTGAACAGATGATTGACAACCATTAGCTACGAGTTCACCTAGCTAACAAAAGCTAACAGAGGTTTGTGGGCGCTTTTAACCAGAAACATGCGGTTGAGCGACTTTCACGTGAAGCAGGCGTCAACTCGCCCAGCTGTGGTGTTTCTGTGGTCTCCTTCAGAGAGCCCCACAGGCAGCCAGCACTACAGCCTTGCACTGCAGCAATCAAAGCTGGGCGGCCAGGGCACACAGCAGCCCCTTCATGTATATCCGTGAAGGTGCCGCTACAGAAGGAAGGTAGACCGTACCAAGTTTCGTTAACCAGCCCTACCAACCTGTCAAATTTCAAACCATTTTTGACCAAGCAGGTCAATTTTTTACCCTATTCAACCAGTGAATTTAAGTATGTAAATCTAATTATATTTACTGAAAAAAATGGAGCAGAGATTTCTTGGATTGTCTGTTAGTGCAATCATCAATACCACATTTTGCTATATTTATCCAATAATTGCCTAATTAATATCCAGACATGAATACATAGAAGACGCAACTGATGGCCAAGTTAAGAGGACCTAAAACTTTTAATGTGGCCTTCCCGGAGCAAGCTGCAAGCGCTACTTTTGAGGACTCATATGCTACCTGTCAACCAAAAAACAATTAATTATAATTCCAAGCTTTAATTACATCTAAATGGATAAAAAATCCCCCCCCCCCCCCCATCAGAGATGTCATGACCAGTGTTAATTTTCACAAGAAATTTTATTTTAGTTTTAGTCTATTTAATTTTAGTCACAATTTAGTTATTCAGTTATTTTTAGTTTTAGTCCACTAAAATACAAAGCTATTTTAGTGGACTAAATTAGATGTATTCAGCTTTTGATGCAAACATTTTCAGCTTGTGTAAAGTAAATGTTAAATAGAGCTACTTGAAACTGTAAAGAAATATGAAAAATCCACATTTCACACTTTGGATGAATATATCTATATTTATAACTGTTTCTATGACAATTATAAACATAAAATACCAAAATGAACACAGACAGTTTGCCTCTCAATATAACTAAAATAAACAAATCTGTGTGATGAGCAGTAATATTCGTAAACAAGACAGTAATGACATCATGCCAAAAATACATGTAAATGTAGCTATTACTCTAATAATGCGGAGGTAAATGATAAGAATGGTTTTCCGGTGTGTTTATTAGCGTTTTTATTAAACTGATTGATCAGACACCTGAACGTTTCTCCTCACAAAAGCACTGCTAGAACGCAGAACGCTGATCATATAGGCCATAACAGCGTCATGAGAATAAAAACGATTAGACAACATGATGCGTGGCGCGCCGCTTCATGAATTCGGTTCACTGAGCTCCAGCACTCCCTCACCTGCCCCCGCTCGCTGCTAACAACCCAGATGTGTACTCAGTCACCAAGCAAATGTTTTTCAGATCTTCACGTCTACTGCTTTTACTCCCAGCCCTGGACATATTGTCCTTTTAGACATGACTTTTACCGGCATAAACATCAATATATGATGACTGGTTACCCACTAGCTTGTACAAACAGCGGCTGGCTCCGAACTCTGATTGGTTGTTTTCTTGTCTAGGCCCACCTTTTCCATTTTCAGATTGGTTCTGTTTTTTGGTCTCCCATTGTTTCCATTTTCTGGTTTGATTTTTGTTTTGATAATTAGTTTGTCACAAAAATGTAAAAAATGTAGTCATTGAAATTAACACTTGTCATGACTGTTTGCTTTGAAGTTGGCATTTTTCCACATGGGAGTCAATGGGAATTTGCTCTGGTTTGGACCCAGCACCTATAAGATGAGAGAACTGCAATTTTTGTCACTTCCCCGTTGGCTTCACTTTAGACAGTGGGAGTTTGCCCTTTGACCACACTGCAGCCTGTGTAACCACCTTACCATACCATACCATTTTATTTACTTTACTTTATACTTCAGAATCACAACAAGGTTGAACAGTGATGTCCATTAAGGCATTACATAAAAGCACATCACCTACATAATAAATACAAGCCACACCATTCAACATTTTAAAAGCCAAAGAATAAAAATGAGTCATTAAACAAGACTTAAACATAGGGAGGGGGCCTGTCTGACCTGGACGGTTAGCACATTCCAGTCTCGGTTCTGCCACTCTTAAAACTCTCTGCCCATTTGTCAGCGACATCTGACCAGCAGACCTGAGTGAACGGGACTGAGTATAAGGTTGTAAAAGGCCAGAAAGGTAAGTAGCCATTGAGGACCAAAAAAAAAAAAAAAAAAAAAAGTAAGAGCATTTTAAAAGTGATCCCTGCACCGGCAACTGGTGGAGAGATGCCATGACTGGTGTAATATGTTTATGTATGTAGCAGACACTTTTGTCTAAAGAGACTTACAGGTGATAATCAAGCCATCAGGTTGCCCTTGAGGCTAACAACAAGCACTATTCAGTCAATCCTTGGTGGCAGTGAGGCAGCATAATCAATCATAGAGGGAAGTGAACATGGAGTGTGTAGTAGAGTGGGGGGAGGGTGCTAGTTTAGAAGATGCTCTCTGAAGAGCTGGGTCTTCAGGAGTTTCTTGAAAATCAACAAGGAAGCCCCTGTTCTAGTAGTTCTGGTAGGTCATTCCACATCTGTGGAACGATGCAAGAAAAGAGTCTGGATTGTCCTGAGCGTGGTGTAGGCATTGCCAGCCAACAGTTCCTTCGATGACCTGAGCGGCCGGGCTGTGACGTAAGCCTTTGCAAGAGGATTCAGGTAGATGGGAGCCGTACCATCCAGGACTTTTATGCTAGTGTGCTAGTGAAGTGAATTTCATGCGTGCAGCTAGCGGAAGCCAGTGGAGTTCAATGAACATGTGCTCTTTTAGGCAGATTGAAAAATTCATATTTTTAAGAATTCTTTTTTTTTTAAACGTTTAGCTAGGATTGTCCAGGTGAATATTCATGTCTCCAAGGACCATTGTGAGACAGTCATGCTCAGGAATGGAGAAGAGCAGGGTGTCGAGTTCATCTAGAACGTCTCAGAATTGTCCTGGTTGTCGATATATAACAAACATAAGGAAACATAAGGAATTTCTTTGGTGCAGTTACCTGTATGTAATGTGCTCCAACGAGATGCCTTGCCAGCAAAGAATGTTTCATAATGGCAGAAGGTGTAGAGAAAAAAGCAAGGACCCAAGAATCAGTCCCCGAGGAACCCCCCAGGGCAGAGGTGCACAATTTGATCTATAATCACCAACATGCACACTGAAAGCTGTCAAACTGATAGGACCTAAACCACTCCAGTGCTGATGCAAAAATACCCACCCACTGCTCCAACCTAAAGAATAATTTCTCATGGTCCAAGGTATCAAAGGCCACACATAAATCCAGCAGCACCACAACAACAGAGTCCCCAGAGTCCATTTCCAGCAGAATGTCGTTAAAAACCTTAAGTAATGCAGTCGCCGTGCTGTGATGAAATTTAAACCCTGACTGAAACACCTCCTCAATCCCCTGGCCAATCAGAAAGGCTTTAAGCTGATCAAAGACCACCTTTTGCAAATCCTTAGAAAGAAATTAGAGTCTTGATATAGGTCTAAAATTTGATAGCATTTTAGCAAGTTTGAGGCTATCAGGGACCAAGCCAGAGGTTAAACTTTCTGTTAATGGACAGAACTGCAGGACCTGGGCGGACAGAAATGCTTCTTTGAGGTGAGGAGGTAAAATATCATGGGAGCCAGAGGATTTCATGTTTGTGACCAGATTTTAAGAAAAAGAAGAGTCAATGGCAGAAAGTTAAGTCAAATGCTCTGATTGGACTCATTGAGTTTTGGTCTTTGTGGAAGCTGCACGGATTCTGATCCTCACCCGTTCCACACTTAGTGTAAATGAGGCTTTAGTCTAGCCTCTTAGATATCCTGTCCAGTTTAGTCCAGTTTCTTCCTGTGCCCATTCCTGTGCCTTGGAGCTCTCCTGATGTTGATCAAAAAACTTTAATTCACTGAAAGCCTCTGGGTGATCTGCTCACCTGCATTTAGATCCTCTACACACCTCAAATCATGACACTTCATAACAAACTGTCAGAGTGACGAATCCATTAAGCTCCTTGTATTATTAGCATTGTTCTCAGTGGCCTAATGCTATGAGTGTCCACTGAGAAACTGTGGGTTCAAATCCAAGGCCGGGTCATACCAATACTTAAAACAAAAATGAGACCCAATGCCTCCCTGCTTGAAACTCAGCATTAAGGGGTTAGAATGGGGGTGGGGTGGGTGGTGGTGGTGGTGGTGGTGGTGTGTGTGTGTGTGTGTGTGTGTGTGGGGGGGGGGGGGGGGGGGTGTTAAAGCATCAAATGATTCTCAAGTGCGGCTGTATCTGCAGCTCAGGGGATGAGTCAAATGTAGAGAACAAATTTCACACAACAGTGTGACAACTAGTGAGACTTTTACTTTAATTCTGTCTGAGATAATTCAATTGCATGTTTCAATATTGCAACTTTGAATATCAATACCCTTTATGTTAATTTAAGTCAAGGCTACAAAAGTCACTTCAGAAGGAAGAAAAGACCACATGTGGCCCTAGCCCCACAATTTCTGAATTCTGAAACCAGTATTTTAATGGAGATAGACAAAAAGAAAGCTCTCTTTTAGAAACCCACAGCATTTGTTTGATCATGTATTCAGAATCGAAGTGAGTCTTGCTTTTTGCCAGCCCACCTGAGTGAATTCCTATTCGTATCCTCACGGGCACGTCTGGCATGTGTCTCATGTGAAAGGTGCCCACAGAGCTGAGGATGTTCAGTGACATGTTGGCAATCTCTGCGGCGTGTTTGTTGCCATTTCTCTTAGGAAGGCCAGATGCCACCATGTAAGCATCACCAATGGTCTCCACCTGCATGAAATTATTCCAATTTGGACAAACTTGGTGTTGGAGCATGTTTGTATATGTACCATTAGAGAACATGACTGAGAAAGTAACACTTTATGATATATAAATTATAATTTAACAGACATGTGTAAATAAGGATCTGATGGGTGAATCTGGTCTATCCTCTGACCTTGTAGACATCATGGTTACTCAGCACAGCATCGAACAGAGTGTAGAGGTCATTGAGAAGGTCAACCACTTCAATGGGATCACTGAGCGAGGATATGGTGGTGAATCCAACAATGTCACTGAAGTATATTGTCACCTGATCAAAATACTCTGGTTCCACTGTGGCGCCCGTCTTTAGGGCCTCAGCGACTGAGCTGGACAGGAAATGTAGAAAAGTTGAAGGCATTAGATTCTTAAAGGTGCAAGAATGAAGTAAGAATGACATCCTGTGGTCAAATTTGCGTACTGCAGTCCATTTTTCTAAACAAAAAGTCACTTGCTCACTGCTGTTCTATGAGTTTTATGGCTGTTACCAACTACGGATCAGCACCAGAAGACTCTAGATGACGAGCAAAGACGAGTCATACAGTTAATTGATAAGTAGATAAATACATTGTCATATTTGGTGTTGGCACTCTTGGGTGTTTTACGGTAGGGAGAACTTACTACACTTAATTACAATAGTATGCCTCTGGCATTGGAGAGAATGCAGTCTGCTGTCCTGCTGTTATAGTCCTGAACAAATAATTAAAGCAAGTAAAATGCCACAATTAAATCATTACTCACTTCACACATACATTTCACTGTAATATTAAGTTCTTGGTAATTGAAAAAGTAGCTTGAGACATTTTTAGAGCAGACAATTTCTTCAAATTCGTCATTAGTATTGTTAGCTCAAAATTAGCCTCTAGCCTTCTGTACCCAAAATTAGAGTAAATCAAAAGGAAGTTGTGGCTTCTTAGGGCTACAAAAAAAACCTTCTGATTCGCTCCTCTTTACTGAACTTAGTTCTTTAAACAACTCTGGAGCTTTTTGCCTGCCAGTGTTGAATTATAAATGACGGTGCTGCAGCGTTAGATTGAAAACCCTAGGTGTTTCTCAATGCCAAGAAACCTTGCTTTGATGTATTGGCCCCGCCCCAGTTGCCTAGGAGATATCAGGCACCACCAAGGCATGTTCCAATGTTCATGTTCTACCAAGGCGTGTGTGTTCTCCGTTTATTAGCCGTTTAGCTAGCTGAGCAAGGATACACGGGAGGTGTCTTGTAGCCTAGCCTTGGTCAAAAATTTCCCAGAATACACTGCAGTATTTTTAAAAGGATGGCGGATCAGAAGACGGCAGCTACTTCTGCAGCAAATTTAGTTTAAAAGTAAGTCAACTAATTTAAAATGTTTTTTTTTAGATCCAAAGCAATTATCTATGGTTGGTTAGTTGCTTAGTAGTTGCAGCTTTGGTGGCTAGCAGGTAGTAACTCGCTTACATATTTAATTTAACAAATATATACACAATTTAAAAAGTTAAGTCTTGTTATATATTTATATTGAAACTTATACGTATAAAAATAACGTTATCTCCCGTGTCACGTGATGCAAGTCTGTTCCATTTAACTGTTTTCTTTGACCAAGGAAGGACGGTGTCTTCTTAAGCAAGGCGCCTGGCTTCGCAGGACATCGCCTTGCAAGGCGAGGCCAGGCGCCTTGACATCGAGAAACACCCCTAGTGTTCGCTTTTGAAAGGAGAAAAACTTACAATCCCCAGACAACTGTGAAGAAAATATGTTTCAATATAACCTTCCCTCCAATATGACAGACATTAGAATGTTTTGTGATTATTTCATTGTAAAATTCTTACATACTTTAAATTCAACTGCAAAAACAGATGTGTGTACTTGTCTTCATATGTTTAAGTGGACACATTTTAACTTTAACCTGTAGTGTTTGAACATTTCCACACTGTGGGGACATTTTACTGGTCCACACAAGGCTAAGCACTCTAAAACTTGGTTTTAGAGGTATGGTGTGAATTAGCTTTTAGTTTAGGTTAGGGTTAGGAAAAGAATCCTGTTGGTTAGAATTAGGGTAAAGGTTGGGCATAATGGAGTCTCTAAAATGAATGGAAGTCAATGGAGGTCCACACAAACATACAAGTATATATGTGCTTGTGTGTGTGTATGTTGACCCACGGAGGAAGCATCTCAGAAAGCAGCTTCTCCGTTCTCTGTTTTTCCACCTCCAACTCCTCCGTTCTTTCTCTGATCAGATCCTCCAGGTTTGAGCTGTATTGTTCCAGCATCCTCAGCATGGAGTCAATAATATTGGTTTTCTTACCCTTGTTGATGATCTTGAACTGTTGGAAATATCAGCAAATGATTCCAGTCAGATTTGGTTGATGAGAATAATCAGATGTTATTTAGTGAAACAAAAAATATTAGAACATGATGACAACAATGTACCCTATCAAAGATCTCCCCAAAGGCTGGTCTGCGATCAGGCAGCTCGCTCCAGCACTGCTTCATTAACTGGATACATTCAAGTGGAGCCTGATCTGGGGCAACGGTAGGACGGCACATTGGGGGAGGCTTTCTCACCTTACGAATGATTTCTGAGGAGAAAATAAAATTAGCAAAGAGTCATTCATTTTTAATTAAAATATGTAGTTTTTTAACTAAGGATGCATGGTGTATTGTATCAACATCAGCATCGGTCAATGTTGTCCATTTTTTACATATCGGGATTGATAAATAGGCTGATTTTAACCACTGATGTTTATTTTCTTCTTGTTTCCATTTGTGTATATTTAATGGGGTGGCCACGTGGCATCTGTTTGGGTGAGTGATTGTGATGCAGGGCTGGATTATGGGTGTTCAACCCTTTGATGCATAATGGTCATTACAGTGGACAGGTACTCAGAATTGTTATTTATTTATTTTTGCTATTAAGCACAGCTGTTGAAGACTTTATTGCATTTGAGCCCCTCCATTTGGACTTCAGTAAGTCAAGCCGACATATTTCATGTTCAGAATGCACGCTGTCCAATGAGGTGGACATGTTATAAACTGTGTAAATTAAATGTTACAAAAAATATGTAAATATGAAATTTGTTTCATTTACACCTAAAGATGAAAGAAAAAAATTGTTTAAAAAATCATGGTTGAAGATTTCATAATTCATGCATCAAAGGGTTAACTAAAGCAGAGAAACATTACAAGTATTTGTATAAAATAGCAAATATTGGTTATTGGTTTAAACTCCAGTGCTAACATCAGATATTATATTGGCCCAAATGTTCCAATAGTTTTTTATGGTGTGCTACACACATGTGGAATTGTTTTCCTCGTGTGGTGTGAAGACACACCTTCAGGTGGTAAATCCAGCATGCAGTAAGGTAGACCTCTCACCACCACCTCTTGAAGGATAATTGCAAAACTGTATACGTCTCCTTTATATGTTCCTTTATGGTAATTGGTGAGGTCCCTCAGGAACTCAGGAGCAGTCCAGAAAAGTTCTAAGAAAAAGAAAATGTTGAAAAATAAAATTATATTAGTATATATTTTGTTTGAACAGGGAATCAAAATGCATATTTTTATTATGTGACACACAGAAATGTATATACAGTGGGATGCAAAAGTTTGTGTAGCTTTGTTAATTTTCATGATTTTATCTATAAATTGTTGGTGGTTATGATTGAAAATTTTCAGTTTAATACATCATATAGGAAAGTGTGCAATAATTGTTCAAACAAGATTAGGCTTATGCATAAATTTGGACACTGTTGTCATTTTATTGATTCCAAAACCTTTAGAACTAAATACTGGAACTGAAATTCACAGAACCCCAGACAGAACTACAGAAGCAGAACAAAAGTACAAAAGATATAAAAACAAACTCATAAATATAGTGAGAAGCTGTAAACGTGAATGTTTTATTAAAAAGTTAGAGCACAATAGAAACAACATAAAAGGCATCTGGAAAGTATCAAATGGTGTGATTATGAAAGAGACAGGGAATAATAACTATCCACAACATTTTATAGAGAGAAAAAATAATATTACAAACATGAATGAAGCAGTGGATGAATTCAACAAATATTTTGTAAGCATAGGATCTAAATTGGAGGAAAAAATAATAGTTGATGAGAGACAAACGGATGCCACAGAGTATGTTGAAAGAAATAAAAATTCTGTTTTTTAAGAGCAGTTGATGAGAAGGACATTTATGATATAGTTAGAAATCTGAAGAATAAAACCAGTACAGACTGGAACGATATTGACATGAAAACAGTGAAATGTGTGATTGAGGGCATTGTAAAACCATTAACACACATTTGTAATCTTTCTTTTCAAAAGGGTGTTTTTCTGAATAACACGAAAGTAGCAAGGGTAATTCCTATTTGCAAGACAGGAGATAAGCATCAATTTACAAATTATAGACCTGTGTCAATACTATCACAATTTTCCAAAATATTAGAAAAGCTTTTTGTTGAAAGATTCGATAATTTCGTTGATCAATATGAGTTGCTGACAGAATGCCAGTATGGCTTCAGGAATATTAGGTCAACAGTCCAGGCACTGATTGATCTTAATGAGGAAATAACAAAATGCATTGACAAAAAGAAGCATGCAATAGGGTTGTTTTTAGATCTGAAGAAAGCTTTCGATGCAGTAAACTATGACATATTGATGAGAAAAATGGAAAAATATGGTTTCAGGGGTATAGTATTGGACTGGATAAAAAGTTATTTATCAAATAGACAACAATATGTGCAAATACATCAACATAAATCAGGACTAAGAAAAATACAATGTGGGGTGCCTCAAGGATCAGTCTTAGGACCTAAACTGTTCATAATGTTCATAAATGATATTTGTAGGGTTTTACAAGTATTGAAGTTTGTATTGTTTGCAGATGACACAAATGTTTTTTGCTCAGGTGTGGAATTGCAACAGGTCCTGGATGTGGTCACACAGGAAATAAATAAATTAAAAAAATGGTTTGATGTAAATAAACTGTCACTAAATTTAGAGAAAACAAAATTTATGTTGTTTGGTAATGAAAGCAGATACAATGAATTGGATATAGTAATTAATAATGTAAAAATTGAGAGAGTATATGAAATAAAATTTCTTGGGGTGGTCATAGACAGCAGAATCTGTTGGAAGCCACACATCAAATATGTTAGGGGGAAGCTTGCACGGGGGATTGCTATATTGGGGAAAGCTAAGTATATTTTTAATCAGAAAGCACTTTATATATTATACAATACGATGCTACTGCCATATTTGAGCTATTGTGTAGAGGTCTGGGGAAATACGTACAAAAGTATTTTACAAACAATAACAACAATGCAGAAAAGGGCTATCAGATTAATAACAAATGCAGGATATTTGGATCACACAAATGAACTTTTTATTAAAACGCGGACAACGAAGTTCCAGGACTTGGTTAAATACAAAACAGCACAAATAATGTATAAAGTAAGAAATAAATGAATGCCTGATGAAATACAGAAACTGTTCACAGAGAGAGAAGGAGGATATAACCTGAGAGGGACACTAAACTTAAAGATACATAAGTTTAGAACAACAGTAAAACAGATGTGTATCACAATAATAGGGGTTAAATTATGGAACAATTTAGAAGAAGAAATCAAAGTAAGTACAAATATAAATGTGTTTAAAATGAATTATAAATAACATATTCTGAACAAGTATAAAGTGGAAAATAGATGATTTATGTGGATGTCCTTTATTCTAAGGAAAATTAAATATGAGCATCAATTGTAAAAAGATGTGTTTTGTTTTTCTTTTCTTTTTTTCCATATGGGTTGGTGGTTTTTGGTGACTTGTACCATTTTGTTTGTTTTAATGTAGGTTTTGTGTTACATTTAGTAAACAAGTAAAAATTACTTGTATAAAGGGGTAGGGACATATAAGTTTCGACTTCAGCCTACTCCTTTTCAGACAGAGAAGAAGAAAAAAAGGGATGATGATATGTATTTTTTCTGTTTGTGTTTTTTTTAATTATGTATGTTTTCTTTGTTTGAAATAAACTAAATTATATAAAGAAATTGGTTTGGTAAGCTCAGTGACCCTTGACCTCCATACACAGGTGAATATGAGAAAGAGTAATTAAGGGGGGCCGATTGTAAGTTCCCCTCCTCTTTGCATATTCTCTGAAGAGTAGCAACATGAGGGTCTCAAAACAACTCTCACATGACCTGAAAACAAAGATTGTTCGCCGTCATGGTTTAGGGAAGGATACAGAAAGCTCTCAGATTTTAGCTGTCTGTTTCCACAGTTAGGAACATATTGAGGAAATGGAAGACCGCAGGCACAGTTCAAGTTAAGGCTCAAAGTGGCAGACCAAGAAAAATCTCAGATAAACAGAAGTGAAGAATAAAGTTAAAGTCCCATCAGTTGTCACACACACTGATGTGTGTGCGACATTTGTTCTCCACATTTGACTCATCCCCTGGGGGAGCAGTGAGCTGCAGACACAGCCGCGCTCGGGAACCATTTGGTAGTTTAACCCCCCAATCCAACCCCGTAATGCTGAGTGTCAAGCAGGGAGGCATTGGGTCCCATTTTTTTCTAAGTCTTTGGTATGACCCGACCAGGAATTGAACCCTGATCTCCCAGTCTCAGGGCAGACACTCTACCACTAGGCCACTGAGCTGGTGTAAGAGTCAGAGTCAACCCACAGACCACCACTAAAGCCCTACAGCATCATCTTGCTGCAGATGGAGTCACAGTGCATCGTCCAACTATTCGGTGAATTTTACACAAGGAGATGTTGTATGTGAGTGATGCAGAGGAAGCCTTTTCTCCTCCCACAGCACAAACAGAGCTGCATCATGTATGCTAAAGCACATTTGGACAAGCCAGCTTCATCTTGGAAGAAGGTGCTGTGGACTGATTAAACTACAATTGAGTTATTTGGGCATAACAGGGGGCGTTATGCATGGAGGAAAAAGAACACATTGTTCCAAAAAAAAAAAAAAACCACCTGCTACCTACAGTAAAACATGGTGGTGGTCCCATCATGCTGTAGGCTGTGTGACCAGTGCAGGGACTGGGAATCTTGTTAAAGTTGAGGGACGCATGGATCCCACGCAATATCAGCAGATTCTGGAGACCAATGTCCAGGAATCAGTGACAAAGCTGAAGCTGCACCGGGGCTGGATCTATCAACAAGTCAACGGCCCTAAGCTCTGCTCAACATCTACTAAGGCATTCATGCAGAGGAACAAGCAGAACATTCTGGGACAACTATCTCAGTCCCCAGACCTGAATATTATTGAAAATATGTAGTGTGAGTCAAAGAGAGCTGTCCATGCTCAGAAGTCATCAGACCTGAATGAACTAGAGATGTTTTGTAAAGAAGAATGGTCCAGAATACCTTCATCCAGAATCCAGACTCTCACTGGAAGCTATAGGAAGCGTTTAGAGGCTGTTATTTCTGCAAAAGGAGGATCTACTAAATATTGAGGTAATTTATTTATTGTGGTTCCCAAATTTATGCGCCTGCCTGATTTTGTTTCAACAATTTATTGCACACTTTCTGTAAATCCTACAAACTTTGATTCACTTCTCAAATATCACTGTGTGTCTCCTATATGATATATGTACCTAAAATATTTTATTGTAACAACCAACAACTTATACGGGAAACTCATGGTTGCCCAAACTTTAATTTTTGCCCACTGTATTTTCAGTATAAGATCACCTTCAGGTGGAGGCTCTTCAAAGGGAGATTTCTGAGTCTCCAGGAGTTCGTTGAAGCCATAGTCTGTAATCTTGAGAACAAAGCGCCCATCCACCACACAGTTTCTGGATTTGAGGCGCCCGTGGGGGAACTCCCTGTGGTGGAGGTATTTCATTCCCTGCAAACACAATGCATTGCAAAACAGATTTTTAAAGAAGAAAAAAAATCACAGGAACTTTTGTACTAATGATAAAAGCATGCATTAGTGTATCCTTGTTGGCCAAAGAGAGAATGGCAATGTAATAAAAATCTATTTTACAAATGTGTTTAATATGATCGATAAAAGTCAGAAGTGTTTCCCATAGACATGTTTTCCAGCCGTGGCGTCAGAGTCAAAAATCATACCCAGGTTCTTCACTTGTAAAGAATGATTAAAAGTTAGTGACTATGCAGACTCAAGACTGATGACTAAATCTTCAGTTTTGTCCTGGTTTAGCTGGAGACAGTTTTCTGCCATCAGGAATTGATGTCTGGAATGCAATAAAAATGCGTCTCTTGGCTGTGTGTCATCGAGTGACACATAGATGTAAAACTGTGTTTCATGTAGCTTTTCTACAACAATCTTCATATAAATTACTTATGATTGTATAGGTGTTTCATGCCCTCCCTAGGATGCCGACTGTACAACTGGCACAGGACTACAGATGTAAACTAGCCTATGGCTTACTCTGGCATGTTTCAGTGTGACTGATATTAACATGCACTGTCCTGATTATTAAATAAATAAATTGAAATTGAAAAAAAATTACATATCCACATAACTGTTAACTATGTGTGTCCCAATCACACTGCCAAGTGGGAGCATTTAAAGTTCAAAAAGCAATGGGCCTAAAATCAAACCCTGGGGCACACCACATGTCAGTTTGCAGAGAGGAGCAGTTGTAAACTTACCATGAAGCTCCTGTCTGTGAAATATGATGTGAACTAATTACAGACAGCACCAGAGAGGTAGTAGGAAAAGCAAAGTAGCTAAAAATGTTAAAATGAAGGTTATAAGGAGGACAGCACTGGTCCTTACCTTAATAAGATCAAGCAGAAGAGAGGACTTGAACATCCAGTCTAATTTAACATCCTCGTTCCTGAGCAGATCCTGCAGACTGCCTCGTGAGCAGTGCTCCGTCACTACAGCAAACACTGAGCAGTCCAAAAAGAAACCCAGGAATGGATTTACATTCTCATTTCTCAGGTCCTTCATCTAAAAGATAGAAACAGGAACACGGGTATGAGGACCATAAATTTGTCTCTGTTTTCACTGGGTTGTAAGAAAGAAGCAGGTTATATTATCAGTATATTGAAGAGAATTAATGTCAGATTACGCAGAGTTCAGCAACATGGTACCTTTGTAAAAATCCTGGTGGTGCTTTGTTTCACCTCCTTGAATTGACCCTCATCAAATTTCTTCAGCCAAACCCAGTCTCCCTAAGAGGAGAAAACATTCAACAATTTAAAAAGTAAGTTGTGGTTCACTTGTTTAATCAATACATTTGCAGTGGTATATTGTACGAATGGAGGCCTGGGAAGTCATACTTGGGGAATAAAAGCTCAGATGTGCTTCATTCAGTACTAATCAGCTGGAAGATAGGACAGCATGGCAGGATTTGGGCTCTTATTTCCTGATATTTGGACTTCTTGCCTCAGATTGGCTAACAGCAATGCAACTGTACTACTGGCTCAGTTTGCTTTGCAAACTTGATGTTTTTTTTCTGTAAATAACACAAGCTTAAAGGAGTTCTGCCATGTTGTGGAGTTGCTAATGCTACAGGTTAGCTTCTAGTAGTTAGGACATTCTCTGCACTTTCCTGGATGCCATACCAACAACATCCTTCCCTGCTTAAGAGCCAAGATGGGTGACTCCATGAATGTTAAGTTTTAGTCTTATGTAGATGTGTCAGGCGTTTATGAATCAAACGTTTTCCCCTCAATTTTCTATCACAAGCTAATGCAGGAAGTAGAGGTAGAAGACTAGTTTCACGTTCAGCCTGCATGTTAAACTTAGTGACCGATCATCTTTGTTTGTTTGTTTATTTATCTATTTCAAACATGAAAAAATAAAAGTAAATAAAATAATTTTTGACAATCAACATTGTTTGAAATGGGGGTAGGTTGAAGTATGTACTTTACATATTTTTGAAGGTTTCAAAAGAAAAAAAAAGTGCCTTTGGACATGAAGCAGTTGAGTAAGTACAAATATCTAAAGAATGGTCACTTTTGACTTGCTAATCATCACTATCTCCTTGCTTTTATCATGAATGTCACAATTATTGATACTTGTACCGGCTGAATAGTCATTGTCCTTACAACTAATAGTCTTCATTTCATTGCTTGTGTCATTGCACTCAAAATTGTTGAACATCTTGTCAAACACTTTGTACACCCATTTTGAAAACCCTATTTTTAAGGAGTTTTCATGGAAATCTCCATAAATTTCTTTTCTCATGTGAACCTTATCTCACACTAATGAAAACTGGTGTGTGTCCTGGTGACAACCGGACAATGTATGTAGTGGTTTGGGATAATGTTAGCTTCCATCACTCTGCTGTAGTCAGGCAGTGGTTTGCAGCACACGACAGGATGCTTATGGAGTTTCTTCCTCCTTATGCTCAACTCCATTCCTGAATCCAACTGAGGAGTTTTTCTCTTCCTGGAGGTGGAAGGTATATGACAGACATCCACATACCCAAATGGCCCTGCTAGCAGCCATGGATGCAGCATGTGATGACATCACAGCAGAGTCCTGCAGAGGATGGATTCGCCACTCCAGGAGATACTTTCCTCGTTGCATTGCGAGGGATGACATCCGTTGTGATGTAGATGAAAATTTGTGGCCAGACAGACAGGAACGTCTGGATGTGCCAGAATGATTTACTGTACCTGTATGTTACAGTACTGTGCAATACTGCACGCACTGTTACATGTACTGTATATTGTTCACATTTGTGCACAGCTCTACCAAAAGGGTGATTTTATGTTTACATGTATTCTACAGTAAACAAGTGACTGTAGCATATTTTTCTTTTGCACAATGCTGTAGAATTACAAACACTTCTATAGAGTACAGTAAAAATGTAAAACGTACGTATTCAGTGTCTCAGTTACTCCCAAAACTCCCATAACATCTACAGTAACTTTACTGCACATTTCAAATGGCTGTACAAGTAGGGCATAGTGCTGTCTTGAGCATTTTCTGGTGTCACCAAATATTCTTGCAATGGAAAACACTGAAATTGTAAAATGTCATGGTGAAAACATGACAAAGCCATTTGACTATCTTGTTCATAAAGATGGTGTCAAGACTTTTCATTTTGATGGCACTGACAGTTTCATGGACATGAATACTTGCTTTTGAGAAATGGATTATCAATTTTGATCATGTGACATGCTTTTGCAGGCTATCCACTAGGTTTGCAGTTTGCACTAATTGTTTTGAGAAATGCACTAACTGCTGTGCAAATGTTAATAGTGTTCTGAGAAACGCACCAAAGCGACTGGGAAAAACTGTATACACTATCAATAATGTCTAACCTTTTCCAGGTTTTTACTGCACTTCATTTATATATGCTTTAAATATTTGTTATTAGAATTTTCTTTTGAATTGGCTTATGATTTTGTTTTGCTTTATGTCATCTGTTAGACCAGTCCATATTTTAATACCTGCCACTGAGACACACCAGCTTTTTAATGTTGTTCTGAAAGCATGTGTTTAGCTCTTAGGTTGTACCCTCCATCCTTTACATGAAACAATTTCGTTATTTTTAGGGGAAGTTGGTTGTTTTTTGCCTTATAAAGTACTTGTGCTTTTTTAAATTTAACCAAATCTGGAAATGTCATTAGTCCAGTCTTTGTAAATAGTTCATTAGTATGATCTTTGTATCCTGTTTGATCTGATTGCCCATTTTTGCATTAAATTAATTGTTTGTAAGTTGCTCATGTACGTTTTTCCCCACACTTCCATACCAAGCCCCCACAATGCGGCTCAGAAATTGGTCTCAACCCGGAAGTACCAAAAATTGCAGTTCCACCCTCATCCACTGGGGGCTGGTGTCAGAAGTGAGCAAATCCTCATTGACTCCCATGTTAAAAATACCAATTTCACAGCAGAAATAAACATGTTTACAGTCTGGTACCAAAACATGTTTTTGGTTTAAATGATCTAGTTTACACTCATGACAACTCTGAGGGGGCTGCATTTTTCCTCACTCTTGTGTTTAAGTGTATTAAAGCCTAAAATTCTGTATAATTAATGAGCATCAGACCCACGTGACCACAGAGCTAGCTCCGTGGAAAGGCCTCAGTAGAGCCTCGGTCTGGCCTGGAAACTGCTCCGGCATTTTGAGTCTGTGTGTGTGTGTATTCTTGTTTGGATATTTTTTGTGCAATTGTTGGACAAAATGACTTGCTGTGGCATTAATTGCACTAATAGAGCGTCCAAGGAGTCTCCACTTCATTTTTTTCGGTAAGTAAACTTATATTTATGTATTTTAGGTCACTGCCGAGCTGAGCTTAGATTTTAACATGTACAGTTTAACCATGAAATTTAAATGTAATAGGGTAAAACCCAGTGCATTTAACATAATGCTGCACTTTAGAAAATGGGTTGAAATATAACATGTTGGTGGAGCTGGGTTCCAACTATCGGCTTGTGGAGCTCTCGGGAGACCGATGTTTTCCACCCGTTCTCCCCTCCCCGCAGCTCGGCGCATCTCTGTCTGATCGCGGCTTCTGTCTGCTGCGCAGGCTGCCGGCTTGTGGAGCTCTGGGATGGAAACCTTTCCACCCGGTTCTCCCCAGCGGCAGCTCTGCGCATCTCTGATTGCAGCGGCGCTTGTCTGCTGTGCAGCTGCCGGCTTGCGGAGGTCTTGGAGACCTCTGTGTTCCACCCGGTTTTACCCAGCGGTCAGCCCGGCATATCTCTGATTCAGAAGCTCTGGTGTTGTGCACAGTTAACTCCGGTTGCAGCTAGGTTGCTACCTCCGTTAGCTTAGCTCCCACCTCTGCATTAGCTTTGGGTTAGCTTCAGGTTAGCTTGTAGCTAGTTCGACTGGGTGTCGTCACTTGATCCCAGCCTTTCAGCCCCACCCTCAGCTCCTCCTCTCTTCCCTTTTATGGAATTGTCTGGGTGAAATTGTCTGGGCTTGAAGGAACCTGTGACACGGTCAAAATGGTGGTGGTGGCTACCTCTCATTTTAGTACAAAAACTTATTATTGGAGTCTATGGAAACCCATTGTCCATATATGTATGTCGATGTTCCATACAGTAACTCAAACAGGGTAAGAGTAGTGTACAATACAATATGAAGAGCTTTACGATTGAGAATATGTTTTGTTTTTGTTAGGATGGCAAGACTACAAGCTAACTTCCCATTAACGTTTGTGGTTTCCATCAGATATTATGGTGCATGATTACCCCAAGAAATTTAAATTCATTAACCCTTTCAATGTTAACCCTATCAATGGTTATATTTACTAAATAATTTTATGTGTTTCCAAATAACATGAATTTAGTTTTTTCTAAATTCAAAGATAGTTTATTAGTATCAAACCATTTTTTATACTATGCATTTCATTAGTGATTTCCCCTAGAATCTGCTGCAAATCCACAACAGTGCAAAGGATGTTTGTGTCATCTGCAAATAAAACAAATTTGAACAGCATTGATACTTTACACATATCATTTATGTACATCAAAAACATTTTTAGGCCTAGGATGGATCCTTGAGTTACCCCATAACTGATATTCATTAGGCTAGATTTTTTTGAGCTATCTGTAAAAACTCTTGCCTGTTAATTATTTAGCTTGTAATCCAATCTAATACTACACCTCTGAACCCATACCTCTCCAGCTTTTCTAGTAAAATATCATGGATGATATTATCAAATGCCTATTTTAGATCTAAGAACACTCCAAGTGCATATTTCTTATTGTCAATAGATTCTGTTCTTTCTTCTATCAGGTCCATTAAAGCCAGTCATGTTGATCTATTACTTCTAAACCCATGTTGACTGTCTGCTAGTAGCTCATGCTTCTCAATAAAACTGTCAAATTGTTTAATGAAATAATTTTTCTAATATTTTAGAGAAGTGGGAAAGTATCGAAATTGGCCTATAGTTAGTATAGAGGTGCTCATCTCCTGACTTGTGGTTGGGAACAACTCTTGCTACTTTTATTTTGTCTGGAAATACTCCATTCTGAAAGGATAAATAAAAAATGCATGTTAATCTTCTAAAAAAAATATTTCTCAGTGGACCTGCTCTTTAAAAATCTGTACGTACAATAAAAATACAAATAGGATGACACATTTGTCAGAACTGTAATTTGATGACAACTTGGTAGCCATAACATTCATGTAAACAAAACTAAACAAACATGTGGTTTTGTTTAGCTCGTGAGCCATCTTTGTGTTTTACTTCACAGTTTTTTCACTTAGTGTTACTGACCTCATACACAGCAACACTGGAGTTTTCATGAGTTGCTATTTGCATGCTGTTGACTGAGTGAGAGGGGTCTGCAGATTTGTCATCCACTATGCTTCTGGACTCACTCAGATCCTCCAGTGTTATTTTCTGTATGACATCAAACAATGCAAAATTATTGTTGTGTAAAAATGAGTTGTGCACAGAAAAGGTAAAAATATCAGCAACTGTGTATGTAGCAACTTCATGTATAACTGGAGAATGTATTAAAAATATAATCTATATAGGTCATATTTTTTAATTTTGGGGAGAGAACTAAGAAGAGTATTTTAGTTCAGAAAACCTGGTAATCAAAAGGAAATCAATGTCAGATGACAAAAACTTATTTGAGTTCAGTAAATAAAAACTCAAACTGAACTATTACAGATTTTAGTTTCTGCAGCATTTAAAAATATTCCAGTACATTATACCCTATTGGGGACATTGGAGGCAATTTAACAATGTGTCACACCTTGAATTAATTACCACTGGCATTGTTATTGTTATGTATACATATATTGTTTGTCTCTGTGGTATCTCGGCTCTGTTTCTTTTTTGTTCTTTATCTCCTTTTCTGCAGGACTAAAATGTAACTTCTTGTACCTCTTGTGTCGTCTCGTTCTGTTAACTTTCTTCCTCACCTTGGATTCTGTCTCCTCCTTTCCCTTTCATTTCCATCCTAGTGTCCAATAAAATAAACTAAAAAGGCAGCTTTTATGAAGTTTTGTCTAAAAACGTATGTCAGGTGGAACACTGTAGCCAAAGCTGTAACACTCATCTTGTGAAAGTAAATCTGTAGGACTTGTTTTGGGGATTCAGACAAGAACTCTGATAGCTTTACTGCCAGACAGGACACGTAAAAAAATAGCAGTGTGTCAACACTAAGAGTACAGACCCTGTAACTCAATAAGCAAACACTGACATTATTTGTAATGAGTGGATGACACTTGCCTTTTTACTAAGCTGAGGATTGATAAAAGTAAGATCCTCTAGAGTCAGAAGGATCCGATTGGGACCTTTGATCAGCTGGATTTGTTGAAGTCTCCTCCTGCCAAATGGAAACAGCTACAATAAGGAATATCCTTCAACCAATGACAGCAGGTTTTCTAGAGCCAACCAGCTATCTCTGTACCTTATGCAAAGACTTATGAAGAGCCCTCCAACACCCAGACTTAGAGCAACAGCCAGCACTATTATGATGTAGCTCACCTCCACACCTGAGGAGGACAATAATTCACTTGACAGTGAGAAGAGAAGGTATTGGATATGAGACAAAATGGGCAAAGAATCTGCACAAACACCAAATCCCAGCATTCACCTACCTCCAGTGCAGACCATATTACTGTCAAACCAGCAGCGGGAATCAGCTGCTGGAGGGGATCCTCCTGGAAAATGAATCGACCTTCCTGCAAAACGAAGTACTCCCAAATTCAGGTCCACTATATAAGACTGGTAGAGCTGACTTTGCTTGCTGTCAGAGTCCAGAATGACATAGTTCATCTTAATGTCTCCATTTGTGTCCACCTGGACAATCTGGTTGAAGCCGTTCAAGGTGGTATTCTTTGTGAAGTAGGCCAGATTAGAGCCCGACAGAAGCATGCCTGCTTTCCTTGTGTTGTGGATAGACTTGGCCATCAGGTATATGGAGTTGTAGATTGTCCCAAACAGTGGATTAACCTGCAGGTCAGAGGGAGCAAAACTTACAAGAGGCTTAAAAAGAACACAACTAATCTTACCAAATGAGAATACTTTGTTGGCTATGTGAGATAACAAAATACAATATCCCTTTTTGTTAGCAATTGTCCTGTGGTTTTATATATTTATATATGTGTGTGTGTGCGTGTGCATAGTTATTAAAGAGGCTCCCTGGGTCATCATTACAACTCCATATGAAGTGTATGACTCAATGCAAGAGGCTGGACTGTATTTTAATTTCCAGACGTGACAATCCTACCTGCTCTGCCTGTACTGGCAGGATTATCTCTCCGTTCCTCTTGGCAGCTGTAAACGCCTCAATGAAGGACTGCTGCTCAGAGGCCATAGTGATGGTGAGCACAGCGTCATAGGCCTCCCTCAGAACGTTGTTGTTCTGGAAAGGACTGTAGGTGATGTTGGTGTAGGGCAAACTGTAGTGCAGGGTGTCGTAGGGCACAAACACATACTTCCCTGACGTCATTCCCATCATGTGAGCTTTGATTAGAAAAGTGGCCTGCTGCTCACCTCCAATCAGGATGGAGTGCATGCACATTATAATGACTGAAAAAGACATTACAAAATAACAGGCTTTCAACAAATTCTCTGGTTGTTCAGCTTTTACAGTTCACAAATGATGAATAATGTGATTGTAAGTCACATCTTCATAATTGCTTTGCTTAATTTGGTATTTAAGATTATTTTAAATCTACATTTGTTGATTGTTTTTCCTCTCGCTCTATTGGAGTAACAAATCAAGAGGAACGCGGTGATGGAAACAAGATTTAGCAACACATCTTGATCAGGCAGCAGGTTTATGATAGAGTACGTGTCTGATCATGTTCTGATGCCAAGTCGGCTCTCTAGCTCTGATGCTGGTCTCCTTTTGCGTCTAATAAACTCTGCAATCTTGTGTAAATACATCCAACGGCAGAAGTTTTCTGCTACTTGTAAATTTTGAAGTTTGTATCCCAATCTTAGCAATGGACTGAAAACATTTCTCCACCAGGTCAGATGGAGGAATAAGCCTTCTGAAGAGAATGGCTTTGATGAAAGAATATTTGGGTGGAGCAAAACTGGACACAAGATGGATTGACAAATTATTTACCGATGAACAACTGGCATAATATTTGAACAAATTGTGTTACACAAATGAGCAGTCTTTTTACTTACCCCTTACAGTTCCTGCATTTTGGATCTTCATCAGAGTGCTTTCCACCTCAGTTTCATTCAGACCCATAGCTGTAACCAGGCCAACGAGAAGCCCCTTCCTTCTCAGAGCAGAAGCGACTCCCCATGCAGTGTCGATCCACTGGTCTTCATTTGAAGAGATCACGACAGAGCTGGCCCATCGGTAGTGCTTGAACACGGTAAAAAGCACATCAACTGGAAATGGCACTGTCCTTGCATATGTTGGATACCCAATGTTTCGATCCAGTTCACAAGAAACACAGCTGTAGGAGAAGAGTGCCTTGCCCCAATTCTTTGCCAGCAGAGAAGCTGTGATGCAGTATCCCGGGTTGGTGGAGCCAATGAATGCATCTGCGGATTTATCGTAATAAATGTAAGCAGTGAGTGCTTTGGAGGTTTCACAAGACTCCTGAAGGATGATGAAGTCCATTGTCAGACCTAGATCCAGATTAATGTCCTCATTTATTCTGCTCACAGCGAGTCTGGCTGCCACAGTAGGAAGGGCCTTGTAGTAAATGGGGTCGCAGTTCCAAGGCCCCAACACCCCCACTTTGAATATCAAACAGTGAACACAGCAAGGGAATGTGAGAACTCCCAGGAGAACCCATAAAAGAAAGTTATAAAAAGGAAGTGTCCATAAAGATTGTCTGCTTTTTATTATGGGCACACATGGATGGTTGGACTCCCAACCATTTGGAGGAATATGTTGCATGGTCCTTCCAGCGTGTCCAAGATAGTGAATATTTATATTCACTGGGTGCTGGCTTTCAGTCACTTCACTAATACCTGCAGAATGGACAAAAGTATCGTCTCCGAGATCTCTCATTTCTCTCCTACATCCTGAATCACAAATAAAACACCTACCGTTTGTTCGATGCCATCAGGACACATCCAGAATCCAGATGAGACTATTACAGTTTTGAAAGAGTTTGTCTGTCTCCAACTAACTACCCAACACCTCCAAACTCCACCTATCTACCTCAGTGTCACTCCGGTGAAGACGCAGCCCGTTCATTGTGTTTGGATTACGGGCTATAAGTGACAGGTAGCAGCTCAGGATGAACGTCTGAGGCGTTCGGAGACAACTTCAGCACCCAGGAGATCTACTTACGTTCCACGGTCTCCAAGGCTTCTGTGTGTATCCACAAACAGAGGTGATCACAGTCAGTATTTATCAAAAACGAATAAAATCCATTTTGCTGTTTTTTTCTCTTTTTTGTTCCTTGTATGTGAAAAGAAAAAAATCTAAATAGTAACAAAAATTACATGAAAAATAAATATCTAAAACTACAGATCAAATCTAAATCTGTCATTTGGATGAAACATAAAATAGTTTTGTGTTGTGTTGTCAGCAATCAAATCCTCCCAAAGTGACCCCGGGGCACAACCGTAGGTGTTACTCACTAATCCATTCTCACTGAAGCACAATATAAGAGGATTGACAGTAGTCCACTCTAAAAGCTCTGTTCTCTTGGAGGTCTTGTGCCCTGCTGATATAGTCTTAATCAAGTCTGAAATTGCAGTGCAATCACAATAAAATTTGTTGTATTCAAAAATAATTGTATAAAAATACTCTCCCAAGTGTTCATAAACGTGAATATTAACTTCCCTAACTTTTTTTTCCCCTGATACGCTTAGTTGAATTACTTTTCTTGTCATGGAGACGAACTTCGGCTCTAGTGTATTGTGATTTAATTGGCCTAACGTGCCCACAGTAGACACAGCAGGTCTCGCACATTAAATGAATTTGATTCCTGATGGAGAAGGAGTAATTAACGATAACAAAGGGACGTCCCTGTGGGTCTCATGAGCCTTGCTGCACTTCACAGGCGTCAGTCCTTTAGGATCTCTTTATTCCTTGTGAAATGAGCTGTTTGTCATCATAGCAACGAAACAGGGACTTAGTGACAAGATGTTGGCTTGGTAGCTTTATCAGGTTTTGTTTAAGTGGGATTACACAGCGAAGGAAAAATGAGAGAGTAAACGAAATGATAATAAGAGAATGGAGAAACAAAAGAATGAGGTGAATAGTTCAGAAAACATCAGGTCAGCTGCGTCTCAGTAAGAGCCACTTCTTCTGTCTGCCCACATCTACGATCTAAATCAAACTTCTTCAATCCCCACCTGATCAATACCTAAAGACAACACACTGATATTACAATATTTAATAAATACCAATTCTTTATGAATATATGAACATGGAAAGTGATTCCACCTCTGCTGACCCATATCCCCATAAGCTGAAGAGCCTCTTAAACATAACACCTTGACAGCGCCAGCCCGCATCCAGGAATAGAGGACAGAAGTGATGACAAAGCGCAACGTCTGCGCAGTGTGCACAGAACACAATACTGCAGCTCTGTGCTGCACTATAGGTTCAGATACATGTCTGCCAAAAACACTGTCAAAGCTGGTGGAATAGACCTAAGCTCAAAAACAAAATCAAAAGTTTTGAAATTATTTTGTGGATTAAATTGGTTGATGGGGTGCACTGTAAACCCTGATAAGTTCAGTCTACTTAAAAAAACCAAGGTAACCCGTTGCCTTAAATTTTTTAAGTAATGAAGAATTAGTTGAATTGATGCAGCTGAGTATGTTCAATGTACTTAAGGCCTTAATGGGATTAAATTAAAGATTTAAGTTGAATATACAAATAACAAAAGTTACATTAACTTAAGATAATTAGTTTAACCAATGCCCCACCATCCTTTTAGTTAACTCAACTTCTCAAGTACAATGTAAACCCCAATAAGTTCAGTCTACTTAAAAAAACCAAGGTAACCCGTTGCCTTAAATTTTTTAAGTAATAAAGAATTAGTTGAATTGATGCAGCTGAGTATGTTGAATGTACTTAAGGCCTTAATGGGATTAAATTTAAGATTTAAGTTGAATATACAAATAACAAAAGTTACATTAACTTAAGATAATTAGTTTAACCAATGCCCCACCATCCTTTTAGTTAACTCAACTTGTCAAGAAAGCCTTACTCAATTACCTATCAAACTACATTGTGTATTCTAACTCAACAAACTTAACTTTTATAATGCATAAAAATCAAAATATAATATTCAATCCAAAGAGCCAAATAAATACATACAAAATATTTTATTAAACATTTAAATCTCAAATAACACATTTGTCCATGGAATGACAACAGAATAAAGAACTGAAGGGTAAAAAAAAAAACTCCAATTTTTTTTTTTTTTTTTTTTACACAAAGAGCCCACACTCTCCCCTCTATGGTAGAGGATTAGGCACACTGAAGAAAAATAAAAAGTATTCTGACTTTAATCTCAGAATTCAGACTTTTTTTATTCAGAGATGAAAGTTTAAAAAAGACAGAATTCTGAGAAAAAAGTCAGAATACTTTTTATTTTTATACAATGGCCCTAATCCTCTTCCGCACCCCTCCACCTCCTCTCAACCCCCCTTCCTCTTAACATTCATGAATAGATGAACATTTAATGAACTCTAAATTTAAAAAAGGCATGTATGGGTGTGATAAAGTAAAACTATATAAAAAAAATAATAATAGTTTTATTTTTTAACACAAAGCCCATACTCTCCCCTCTATGGAAGAGGATTAGGGACACCAAAGAAAAATAAAAAGTATTCTGACTTTAATCTCAGAATTCAGATTTTTTTATTCCGAGATTAAAGTTAAAAAAAGTCAGAATTATGACTTTTTTCCTCCGTTAAAGTCAGAATTCTGAGAAAAAAGTCAGAATACTTTTTATTTTTCTTCAATGGCCCTCTTCTGTACCCCTCCACCTCCTCTCAACCCCCTTCCTCTTAACATTCAGGAATGCACGAACATGAACCAAAAGTTTCTCTAAACTTAATTAAAAAAAGGCATGTATGGGCGTGATAAATTAAAACTATAAAAATACACATCCAAAACCGCGCTCTCCTCCTTTCTCTATACCTCACCCTTACACCCCCCTCCTGCCTCTAATGATTTTCCCCCTCATTATTTACTTTTTAGTTAGTGACATTTTAGTTTGTCCTGCACTTTTCTCCTTTTTAAATATGCTCCAATTAATGTTTCAACAAATTGACATAATGCAGATGAAAGTTGCTATGTTTTCCTTAATTGCCAATTTTCAATGTACATAAAAAAATATGACATTTTTATCTTTGCAAAAGGAGGTAGATCTGGATCTCACATTGCAAGCTGATTCCTGAGTGTTTGGAGTTTTGGTGTTAGATCTGACTTACCCAAGTTCAGAAGTATCTGTTGAATAAAGTCAAATGTGTTTTTCATGTACTTTGGGTAGTTGAGATGCAGTGCATAAGTAAGTCCAAAGAGGATGTACATGGCCTGGGGCAGGTTCTCGGCATCCATCACAATCTTGCCCTCCAAGATGATTCCCATGAGGATGTATGGTGGTGAAGGGACTGCATGTGTGCTGAAATATCCTGTTCACGGCAGAGGATCCCCACTGGAACATCACTCCACAAACTGTCTTCACCGTCAGTGTCCTAAAAAAAGGAACAAAGCATAATCACGTCCAAATTACGAAACAGTGCAATACTGGCGACAAACCAAAGCAACAAGTGTTGTCCCTCATGTAGTTACTAATTTACACCAGAAGATGGCAGACATCTGTAGCTGTAACTACAGTCTGTGCAACATTTTTGGGTGTGTAACCCCTGCCATGATGCTGAAAGGCCGATTGACTACTGAGAAAGCCCTTCGTAAAGACCTCCTCCAACTACCGATTTTATTTGTTTTAAATTGTTCTCTGTGTTCTTTAAATTATGATTATTCCACTTATCGCGAAAATCACCAACACCTGTGGTGTTTTCTAGTATTTTTTTAAAAACAGCAGCATTAGTTCATTAGAAATTGTCCTCTGGGTTGGGAACGGAACCTTTAGAACCTTGGGAACATTTCCTCAGAGCCTGAGTAGGCAGGAGTGGAGTTTAGTCTCCGCCCAGGAGGAATGTGACATCACAAACACCAGCAGCTTTAGTCTGACTTTTTTGGTCTGCTACAGATTCCCTGCAATTTGAATGCAGAAATACTCAAATGCAAATTTGAACTTAATTTTCTTGACATATGTAATATAGAAAAAATAAAAATGCAAAAAAATATGTTAAGAACAGGAAAAAAAGATTTTCATTGGAGTGGGTCTTAAAAATAATAGGCGACTCAGAGTCTAAAGAGAAATAATCCCCCCTTTGATATTCAGTTGTCCAAGAAACAACAAAGTGAGGCGCTTTTTGGGCGCAGTTGCAGTGAGTCCAACTCGCCTCGACAGTCACCAAGAAGCACATATTATGCCCAATACTTTGTTTCACCACATCCAGGGTGGGAAGGAAGGTACATGATAGGGCTAACAGGGGTGGTCAAAACAATGCTAATGGTGACAGATAGGGATGCACCGATTGCAGTTTTCTGGCTGATCACAGATCTTCAGACAACCTTACCTGTCAATATCGATTTTTTGGTCTATCCCATTTATTTTATAACTGACAGCCAATCACTTCAATGTTTTAATTTTTATTGAGAACATCGATATGAATACTCACCAAACTTGAGGTAGTTTCCTCAAATATAAATGAACATAAGCATTGCTGTTTGAACTACAAAATCACATTTCTTCTTCCAGACTTTCATTTCTCTAATTTTGTTTAAAAATATATAAAATAAAAGAAAAAAGAGGATACCTGTTATGACACAATTGTCCAAAAAATATTCCATTTCATTTGGCTTTCACATTATAACTGGGTTTTCAAGTACTTAATAAAATAGATTGGTGGATAAGACCAATTTCTCATGGAAAAATGGCTAATTTTCAATTCCCTCGAATTAACTGACTGTTTGTTTGACTGCAAACCGATAGCCTCACTAAATACAAATTAGAAATGTAAATTTCCTCCGATTACAAACTTTGAGTAATAATGATTTTTCAAATTTACAGTATGCCTTTAACTAACCACATTCAACCTGTTACATATAATGATATGAAAACGTATTTAATGAATATTATTTTGAATGAATAATATTTTCTTAAGCAACTGCAGCACCTACAGAGTTCATCAATGACAATAACAGAAAAAAGTCATTCTAACCCAAAATTGTAGAGAGCGAGAATGGGAGCTAAGCATCAAGGCAGAGAGAGCAGAAGGGACATAGGGGGGAATGAGGATAAAATATTAAACGTGTAACGCGGGAATGGCGTGACGATAGGTAAAAAAGTAAGTTTCTTACAAAGCAGGCCTTGAAGAAGGCAGATGGATCATCACCGAGAATGACTGGAAGCCCCCTGAGGACCAGGGATCTAACCTCCATCACATCCGAAGCCTGGTGGAATGAGAAAGAATTTCACTAATTTAGAACAGGGTCCATATCTCATTCTAAGAACTATGTTCTTTGCACATAAAAAAAGCCCAACCACTTATCAGGGTTTTTCTAGGTTGGACCACCAAAAATTTAGGATCTTTTTAAAGATGTTTTTAGGGGTTTTAGTGTTAATGTACTGCAAACCACCTGTTAAATCATAACCAGTGTTTGACATTATTTTTACAGGTAGCTATCTATACGAATATTTTACAAATCAACAGGCAAAACCTGGTCAAGTAATGTTTAGCAATTACTCTTAGAAAATAGCCAATTCAAGTCTATTACACATACGCTACTCGGAGATAAAGCATCTACAAGCAGCATACCTGACATTCCTGTTACATTTTAATCTGACAAGGTATCTTTCAATCTCAAACAGGCAACAGCATTTTTAGATATGATTAATGAATTAAAAATCAACTAACCTTTGTTTGTCGCATCAGGTCAGCCAACACCTGCCCTGTAAGACCCCTCTTTGCCTTAAAGATTTCCATAAGCCTGGGACATAGGTGGTCAAGGGCCTCATAGAACTCCTTTCTCAGGCTTTTACCAACCACTCTGCTGAATTCCAGACACACCTAAAACACACAAAAAGAAAACATGTTCAAACAAATGGACCATGACATGATCTTTTTATGCATCAACCCAGACTACACTCTTAGTGGATTAGTACTTTGGAGCCTTTTTGGTGAAAAAAGATAAAAAAAAAACACTTGAGGCCATAAATCTCCTCTTTGTCCATTATTGTTGCCAAAATTAACAATAAACAGCCTGCACAAAAGTGCCAATAATTTCTGGCCAAAAATTTTCTATGTCCAATTTTAGCAAAAATGTTATGTTTAAAACAACATACGAGGGAACTCTATGGACATACCTGGTTTTCCGTAAAGAGAGGAGGCCATCGTTGACATATCTGGATGATGGCGGGCTTGTCGTTCACAATTTCTTTCCTTCGAAGAGCAAATGTCAGATCCATCTTTTGCTTCATCATGGCTGTATTTGGAGTTTTCTTCTTCATTTCTGCAACCATCAGCTGTCGAGCATCTTCAAGACTGGACTCATCTTCTCCCTCTGGATAATCAGGTAAGTAATTGACTTCTCCTCTCTTTGGCTTCTTGATTCTCTTGTTTGGTGGATCTCCAGAAGGAGAGTGCTTTCCGTATTTACCACCGTTGACAGTGACATCAAGGTGACCCAGCTGACGCATTTTTGTTCTGTAATTCCCCATCTTGAATTTCAGGCTGTTTTTCCAGCCACTCCAGCCGGACATTGATCCTTGTTCTTTCAGACATGGGTGCACTCGCACCAGTGCTGAGGCAACAGCTTCAAATTCCGCATTTGTTGGGTAAGCTTTCATGGCATATATGGTCTCGGCAAGCCTCTCAAGGATGTCATGTTTTAGCTCCTTTGATGGGTTGAGGTGTGTTCCATCTCTGAGATGCAGCAGGTTTGCTTGACGCAGTCTGTATTCTACATCTACAGAAAATTTTGGTATATACATATCAAAAAGCTCTGGCCACTGGCGTCGTTCCTGGGGTGAGTAGGGGAGGATGTCAGTGTCAGCCTGGCTTGTTGTGTCACTTGTGGGTGAACTCATCTGTATGTCAGGTACCGCCTCAAGAGTAAGCAAAGGAATGATTTTGACAGTAGGTCGTTCAGGTAGCTCTGATATCTCGGTTAAATTACAGAGTTCGTTGTCAAAGCTGGGATCTTTATACTGAAGGGTGAAGTTGTATTTTATTTGAAGCACATCTTTAAGGGACCCAACCAAAATATCAACTGTATCAGGCTTTGTTGTCAGTTCCACCTTCCTTATGTCCCCTTCAGTGATGATGACTCTCATAAGCATTCTCTGTTGCACAGCCATCTGTGGAGGAAGATGGAGAATGTTCAGCACAGAATAAAATGTTTGAGAGTGACCATTAGTTTCCCACCTATTCTGTATGCTGAAAGTGGGAAAACATCATTAAGCTCTGACAGTGAGACCATACAATGGGTTGGAGGCACATCAGTGTAGCAAACTTCATATGACCTAAGATGCTCATGGTACCATGCAGTCATTACTCTGCACACAAACATGATCTCTGCAAGAACTGCAACAATCTGCGTGATCTGTCTAAACTCAGGAAGACCAGAGCAAGATCCAACAGAGACTACCATACCTGCTTTGTATGTAATTCCATCTAGACAGACAGATGATGCTACAAGAATTGCTTCTGGCTTGTGGATTTTCTGACAGAGTACCCTTTGGACATTCTCGGGGAAAGATGATATCTGGACAGTAGTGACCTTCTCCATCTCCACTGGAGGTTTGAAAAATGAACTAGAGTCCAAATGATAGCTGACTGCTTTTTGGTGCTTCACCGCAAGTGTAAGAGCCACATTCCTGTAGTTCCTAGCATCACGAATAACCTTTTTGAAAAATTTGTGCTTGCCCTCAAAGCGCATAGTCCAGACATCACGCAACGGACCAAATGCTTTAATAAGTTGGGGATAATGTTCAATGTAGTGGTGCTTTGGTCGTAATTTAAACTCTGGGAAAGTAGACCGCAGTAGTTCTCTGTGTTCTGCTAACTTGGACTCCAAGAAGTAAAGTGTGTCTTCAGTAAACCTGGGGGCAACTACTAACTCCACAATATCTTTGACAAGCATGAGAACTTCCCATGCCGTTTCCCCAGGAGGAACATACTGACCAACAAAAAATGGAAGAAGCCGAATTAGACACCAGTTCTCATGTGCATTTCCCCCAATAGTGCCTTTTGTCAAACAAGCTTTTGTAATAGGCTGTGGCTGGTCGGTTTTGTCAGTAAACGTGTACCCAAATGATCCAATATGCTGATTTAGGGTTTCTAGGTCAAAATATCCCTTGGAAATCAGATCTGAAATGCATAAAGATATCTCGACTGGGACTATGCCTTCCAAAAGATCATGCATGAGGTCAGGAGGATAACCTTTGATCACATGGAAGTGCTCCAGTTGTGCAGTCAAAGGGCACTCTTTTTTCACACCAAATGTCCGACCAAGCTCTCCATCTTCCAGAACTTTCTGCACATCTCTGTCATGTCTGTCTTTGTCTCTGAGCTCAAAGGCACCAGAGCAGACCCCTTTTTCTTGAATGTCATTTTTACTTGCCATGCAGACTCTGCACAACTTATCAACAGTGAAGCTCTCATAAAATCCTGCCAATGCATGAGCACCTAAGTTGTCAGCTGCTACATACAAAACAGTTCCTTTCACACTTGCACCTAAGGCCTCTATGTAAACACCATCTTTTTCCAGTGCAGCTATATCACGTATAAGTGGGTCCAACACTTTAGCATAACCACATTCTTTTACTGTGGTTGTGTTGCATATAAGAGCAAGCTGGATACAGTTGAGTGATGATCTATGTTTCGCTGGTATATTGGCGATTACCCAGTACACCGCACACATTTTGTGCTTCTTCTTTGATGTACCTAATGGATTGGCCACTTCAAAGTCATCTATATACAGACCAATGGCAATTGTGAACTCATCACTTGTAAGAAGGGCATTTTCTCTAAAGTAAGAACCATCTATATATGTTTTGTATTCATTTGGAACATGTGTTTCCACAGTCATTGCTTTATCCAACACATCTGTCCTGCTTAGCAATTTCTGTAGCATTTGCTGTATGGGAACATATACAACCGATTTCTTATCTTTTTCAACAACATATTCCACTGGCATTACCAATGGAAATTGTTTAGATACATAGGATGCTCTCTTTTTTGTGGTTTCTAAGGAACCATGTTTGCCACAATATTTGGTCAATATGTTGGTGTCTGAGAAAGCATTGCACACCCGTTTCACTATGGACTCATCTATCACAGAATTATAGTCCTTAAGAATCATCTTCACCTTGTGATGTAGAAGGGGCACTGACAAATCCTGTATTTCACAAAGTTGTTTGATAACTTCCTGCACAGACCGCTCAGGGATGTGGAGGATAGTCTGCATCTTTAAAAAAAGTGCTGCCAAGTTATGCTCCAACTGATTTTCCAAACAATGAAGATCTATCTCACAAGTTTCCTCATTGATATTGTCTATATCATCTGTGTCATCAAATGGCATTTGCTCATCTGTAACATCACTTTCTTTGTTTTCATCACATATGACATTAACTATTTCTTTCTTGAACATATTCCAGTTGTCATATCTATGTGCTTTGCTTTTATGTGCATTGAAAGTTGAATATACACTGCTTTCAAATCTACAGCCTGCATATGGACACTGAACCTTTTGGTTGACTCTCAAGTGGCTGCTTCTGAGATGGGTGAAAAATTCTGCTTCGGAACAAGGCTCTTTGAATTCACACAACTGGCAGCAGAATTTTACAGCTTCATTTTGTCTTGGCTTTCCTTCATCAGTTTTACCATGAACACGAGATATGTGTGCTTTTAGGCTGTTAAAGGACTTAAATGTGCACAAACAGTCCTGGTGCAAACAAGGAACTGGTACTGTTCGTGTGTGACTTCCATGTTTTAGCCGGTAGTGTTTAAAAAGCTGTGCCCTCTTCCCACTAATAAAACTGCAATATTTACACCTCCACTCCATCTTCAGTTAGCTAACGATACAATAAATAAAAAAACAACTTGAAAACACACTTTCCAAATGCTGCTCCAGGTGTCCCGCTCAGCTACACTTCAAATAGCAATCTGAGGGGGGAAAAAAAGAAAAACACTGTTAGAAAAAAGACAAAAAAGATGCAGCAACTACACAAAACGTCTTTATAATAACTAAACATCAGCTGTAGTGCACCGCTAAACTAACGGTATTTTGACATGAATAATCCCGCTTCAGAACTCCGTCGGATCCACGCACACTGTCTACTGGTGGACTGAGAACAGCCGCGCATGAACATTAGTCTAACATATTCTCTCTCAATAGACTACAGCATTAATGTAGCATCGACACGTAGCATAGCATCGTCTGTCGTGGTCTCTAGCATCCCCTACAAAAGAAAACTGCTCGCAAAACGACCGCACGGCTGCTACGTATTAGTTTATATAAATTTAATATAGTTTTTTAGCACAAACCGATTTTTTTCGTCTGTACAGCCCTGAATTAGCCAAGAAAGTGTCGGGGAAACGATAGCTAGAACTACCTTGCTAACATATCAATAGTTAGGCTACTTCATTCCCTTGCCAGTTAACATGCAACAAGTGTAAGTTTTCACTTACCGTTTTAGGACTGAATCAAAGACAAAAATATATCCTTCAACGTCAAATGTGGGTTGGATAACTTGCTTGCTCCTTCTCACACTCTCAAGTGCAGGCAGCCGCTTAGCGCTCAACAGTGCCACTGTTCAAAACAGGGTTAAACCAGATTTTTTGCGGGAGCAAAAGGCAAGCTTGATAAGTTGTTTGAACTCAAATACATACCGTAATTTCCGGACTATGCAGCGCACCTCAATGTAAGCCGTGCCGGGCTAAAAGCTGTAGATGTTTACTGAATTCAAAACGTAGTTTAACTGAACGTAACTGAACTGATCAGTATTAAAAAAAAACAGAAAAGTTATTGATTAGTTTATTCATCATCCTCCTGCGCACTGAAGTCATCTTCTTCAGTGTCGGGAGTAGAACAGCCTCAAAAGAGCTTCGTCCAGAGCCGTGTCCAGGACTTTTAAAATGGGGTGGCCCATGTGGGCCACTTGTTTATTCATGGGTGGCACCAATGGTTATGCTTATTTATTTATTTACACAAATTGTTTATTTATTTATTTACTTTCTAGTGAATTTTTGAGTTTCACATTGCACAATCACCATTTTTTCCCCTCTTCATCTTCTACTTTTGTGGTGGTTAGCAAGTCACTTCTTGTGTCATTACTGCCACCAACTGGAGTTGAGTGGGACTCTAAATATTATGTATGTGAATATGAAAAAATATTAAATAATATTAATACTACATACCTGGGCTAGAAAACAAGGTGAAAGGTGCATGCAACCACACACTATTTTGGAGTTTACAACCCAAGCCTTTTGTCGACAATGTAAAGTCAATTTAAACTGGAACTTAGTGGGGTGGCACCTGGGGTGGCCAATCAGATTCCAAGGGTGGCATGTGCTACCCCAAGCCACTCCCTGGACACGCCCCTGGCTTCGTCAAATACCTTTTCTGTGGCGATGTCAGTGTTGCTCTCCGTGTTGCTGTCATCATACCGGGGTGAAGCTGGGAAAACAAGCAGCGCCGTTTTGAGGTGAACAAAATCCTCCTGGGCGCTTTCCGTAGCACTCCTTTAACCCTTCATTAGACTTTCCAGCATCCATCCTTTCTGGTTAAAGCTGCACCTCATTATAAAGCCACATGGTTCAAAGCATGGGGAAAGTAGCAGCTTGTAGTCCGGAAAATACGGTAATTAGAATAAGCTAGACCATCAAAAAGTGTGTCACTCAAAATTCCTAGTTTATGTAAGACATTACTGATGTGTAAGTAATATAAACTCAATTTGTTTCAGTAGACATTGTTGATTGAACTTACAAACATGATTAGAATAAAAAAAGGACATAAAAAGTGAAGTTTAATCAAAATGAACAAGTAATGTTCACAAATTAGGCCAATTTAAGTAATATGAACTCAGTATTTTAAGTGGTGTCAAAATCCGGGTTCACAGTGTGGAAAGAAACACATGAGTAAAGAGTAGAGGAAGCCCCCGGGAAATGGAGTTTTAAAGGGCCTTGGATTTTAAATTGACATGTTTACAAAAAGATGCCCAATTTAACGGGCCAAGGACATGACTTGAATATTGCTTTTGAAACTACTAATAATGTGAAATAGTTGCAGCCTTTCAACAAAAATACTTAAAAAAATGGTTTAGGATTATGTTAGTGAGGACATTCTCAATAAGGACATTTTCATTTGTTTTACTACTGAAACAGGACTGGTTTAAATTACTGATAATGCTATAAGAGCCCATATGAAACCCATTTCTGCAGTAATTTAAAGGCAGGGATTGGAAAAACAAACTGATATAAGCTACAAATCATAATGCCAAGGGATTAAAATGCTGAAATGTACTTTAATGTTGGTATTGCCTCACAAGTCAGCATAGCACAGCTCTATCTCCATCTAGTGGATACAAATGCTGGATTTAAAATGTCTGAATACTAAAGACACATGTTGATGCCAAGAAAGTGCTTTTTCGACAGGCTGCAAAAGTTACTTTAGGTTTTGTGTGAAAACACACATAGAGGATTACAACTGCTCGTCGCACCAAACTGACATCATCAAACCAGACAAGAAGGAAAAGAAGAATAAACATGGCTGTGAGTTTAGCGAGCTTCACGTCCTCCTTACAGGATGAAAGGAGTATTAGACGTGGAGAAAACCACTATAAATCTGGCCATGTGGAAAGTAGCAGCTATGTTGGGTGAGAAGAGATTTTGTTGGGACATCTTATATGTGACTTGTAATCTTTTTAACCATGAATTTTTACATGCTAATGAATCTCAAATTACATGACAGACAGCAGAAACACACAATTATTTTAATTTAGAGTACAACATATGTGTAATTACGGGCATAAAGCAAAGCATACCAGATAATAACTTTTATCGCCACTTTCTATTACAATCTTTTTATTTCAGTCAGGAGAACCATGAGCCAACGGGAAGGGGGGGCTCTCTATAATTAAAACAGCTTCAGATATTGTGTTGAAACAAATGAAACCCCCATCCCACATTAATAATTTGACTTTAATTATTCATTTCTAAATACAAAACTACGTCCACGTACATGCAGCAGTGAATGAAACACCACCACTGGTGATGGGTGTTATCTCTTTCATGGGAGCCGTTCTTTAGTCGGTCGTTTATCTCAAAGACTGGCTCCTTTGAACGATGTGAAGCCAAGAGAACGGGGTGGGGGTGGGGGGATAGCGGGTGCGCTTTCCCAACTTCCGGGGAGAAAGATGAACGGCTCTCTACAGTAACTCGGCTCTCAACGTTCACTTTGAAACACGTTTAAAAAATTCGACTCGTTCTTGAATGTTCTTGAATGTCACATCACTACAGCTCCGTGTTTGGTGTGTGTCACGCACTCTTTTGTGTGTGGCAGTTATTTCCACCCATATGTAGTCTGGCCCTGTGTGTGGT